TTATAAAATAGTGTCTTATTTAATATAATATTTTTTTAACATAATTATGATAAATATATCTACCTTATTTATCTCTCTTCTCATCATTATTAAGATTTATTGCCTTCCATACCTCCTTATCATTACTACAATTTATTTCTTTTTTTAATTTTTTTTTTACTTTTTTAGTAGTTTTTTAAATGAAAATTTTCATTATCTCTCCTCCTTAAACATATCCTTATTGTCATGATTTATTATTATTATTCACAAAAAAATTTCTTCTTTTGATCTATAAAATCAGTTTAATTTTTTTTAAAAAAAATAAATACTTTATTTATCTCTCTCCTCATATTACTACTATTTATTATTTTTTCTTAAATTCCTCTTTCTATCTTCTATTTTTTTTTAAATTTTAAAGAAAAATAATATCATCCATCTCTCTTCCTTATTATCATAATTTATTATTATTCAAGAAAAAATTATTCTTTCCTTATTTTTTTTCCTTTTGATCTATAAAATTTGCCAAAAATATCTCTTTGACTAAATATTATAATTAGTTTTTTTTTCTCCTATTCTTGACTTCATATATATTTTTGTTATTTATGTACTATGTTAAGAAAATTCAAAAAATACTATAAACTATAATCTTATTTACTTTTTAAGTAGTTATATATATTAAGTTTAATTGATATATTTTTATAATTTCATATTTCAAATGTTAAATAAAAAAAGTAGAAAGAGAGAGAAGTGACTACAAATAAAGTAAAAAAAAAAAGTAACTCTTTTAACTTCTTTTCCTTTTTTCGTGTTTTCTTTTTATGGTAGTTCTTTTAAATTTTTTCTTTCCTTTTACTTTTTACTCAATTTATTACTATCTTCTTACTTTTATCTATATTTTTTACTGTCATAAAAGAGAATAAAAAATTTATTGTCCTTATAACTTTTCATTTCATTTCAGTACTCTCTATACTCATTATTTGTAAATAAAAAAGATTAGAATGAGAGAAATAATACTTCATGGTGGGCATCATTTTCACGGTTCACAAATTGAATGTTAGAGGATATTTTGATGTCTTTAGATCTTCGGTATAATGAATTCCTAAATAGAATTTCGTTCTTGTTTTGCTAGATTCGTCTATAATAATTCTTGCTGGCATAAAATGATCAAATCGACACAGGTATATTCTAATGAATTCATTTATACAAACAAATCAAAAAAATCGATTTATCTAAGGTAGTAAAACCTTCTATTGCTATGAGTTCTCTATTTTATCTTTTGCATAATTTTTATTTATAAAAGAAAGCAAAATGAATTTACCTGAAGTAGTAAATCTTCTCTTGTAATGATTCTTCCATTTTGTTAATTTACCTGTGCATTATGTGCTCTTCTGCCTAATGTCATTTGTATAAACAAAAACAAAAAAATTTATTTATTTGAGGTAATAAAGCTTTTCAAAATTTTAATTTACCTGGAGCAAGAAATCTTCTCTTGCAATGATTCTTTCATTTTGTTAATTTACCTTCTGCTTATGTGATTTCCTGCCTAATTTTATATATAAACAAATCAAAAATTCGATTTATCTGAGATAGTGAAGCTTTTAAAAATTCAATTCACCTTGAGTAGTACATCTTCTCTTGCAAAGATTCTTCCATTTTGTCAATTTATCTTCAGATTACATGGTTCAGATTATGTGCTATTCTACCTATTTTTTTTATATAGATTTTTAATTAATTGATTGCAATAAGTTCTTGACAACAATTACAACTCTTCATTCTCTATTGCAACAATAAAGATATTCTTTATGTTAAAACTTTTCATTATCCTCTTTAATTGTAGGTTAATGATGCATTAGAGGTATTTAATAGATTATTGAAATGAATAAAAAAAAATCAAAAAATTGAGAAAAAAATAATATCAGAATGGTGGCCATAGAGAGGTGCCACATAGGATTGCTTAGATATATATATTGATTCATGAACAATGGACTTAATAACATTAGCATGCTTTTCAAATTCTACAAGTAACAAGTGTTTTCGAGGGATATTGATCTTTTAAAAAAATATATATATATGACCTTTCTTGAAATTACCGCAATTCTTCTTTCTTGATTAGTACGTGTGTGATTCTATGTTGAAGAAGAAAAGGGTGATGGAAGACTTAATAGTGATAAATAGCATAGAGAAAAAATTAACGTTAGAGTTTAGAGGCAGGACTGATCATTGCGAACCACTATTTATAAGATGCGGTTGGCGTAGCTTGTACGTCGTGTTGTCTATCTTGTTCATTTGATTTCATTGGGTGATTTCAAATTTTATGACATAAATTAGTGAAATTGTCGTGTTTTGCGCGACTATAGTTTTTTTTAGTATATTTTTGTATATTTTAATTTTCTGTATCTTTTTTATTAGTAGTCCTTGATTCTCCATACAAATTCTTAATTCTTTTTTTAAAAAAAACTTTTGAACTTCTTAATTATGTCCTTGTTATTATAAATTTTTTAATATGAATTAATTTTTTTAAAGAATTATGAAAATGAAATACACAAAAAAATATAAATGGATATTTAAGAGTAAAGTTATAAATAAGATGAAGAGATATGAATTATAACTAATTTAAATGTATAATTTAATAAACATTAAATAAATTAATAATTATGCATTGATTTATTATAAAATTAAATAAATAAATTGTGAAAATTTAAACCTTTTGATTAGCAAAAGCCTTTTTAGGCAATTGAATAGGATTATTATGTGGGGAAAAAACACCACTAAGGAGCTTTTTCAGTTCTTCAACATTCCTCAAAGTCAAGAGAATATAATGAGTTTATCCAAGAAAGTTGTATGAATAAAAATTTCATATTTTCGTTGTCAATAAATCTCAATTCCTAAATTAGACATAATAAAAACATACTCTCTTTTTTTCATCAATTAATTTGATTAGATCTTATTTCAAAAATAATAGTGGCAATGAAAGAGTCAACTAATTCTATATGTACAATGAATCTATATATACAATGAAACTCTTCCATCTTAACCGTATATGTTTTATTCTTTGAGAATTTATTAAATCACCAGTAATCACCTACCAAAGCAAAGAAAAAAACAAACGTCACCATATATAAATTTCTAAAATTAAGAGAAGTTTATTAGTACATTTTTTTTCTTTGGTATAGTTAATACTTCAAGTATTGGTATAATATAGGATTTTGAGGCTTTGGTATGGTCGGCACATCTAGAATCTTGAAATGTGATGTAAGAAATTGCTTACTACAAATTAGGAAAGAAAAATGGAGACGAACGAGTTAATATCTCAAAAAATTATTCAATTTTGAAATTTTATCTAGCAATTACTCAACTTAGGTGTTTGTATCAATAAAATTATGCAACTAAATTTGTCATTAATTAAATATATGATATAGCTTTAATTGATCCGCATGCAATTAGAAACAAATTCATTCACAATTCTACCCATTAACCCAATTAATAAACCCAACACATTGTGGTCGCTGGATTGACAGAACTCTTATCGTGCTCTTCAACTTGTCTATGTTTTAATGTTTATCGTCCATAGCCTGACAGAGAGTGAGGATCGAGTGGATCCAAAGAAAGATAACAAGCAACAATCTGCATTAGCTAATAAACTTGCCCACTGAAGGGGTTTGATCCCATGGCCATTGGCCCATGCTCACGAACCATTTGGAATGCATAGATTGTCAAGTAACAAAACATAGTTTTTTAATTGAGTTGATGGGTAAAATTGTGAATAAATTTGGGTCTAGTTGTACGAGGATCAATAAATATAATGTCATATAATTTATAATAAATTTAGTTGAGTGATTTTATTAATACAAATGCCAAATTGAGTGATTTTACTAATATAAAACAAAATTTGATGATTTTACTAGATAAATTTCTAAATCTGACCTTTTGAAATATTAGCCCGAATTAAACCAAAGTAACATCGATCAGAGCTATATTACACATACTGTATTGATAGAAAGTAATAAAATACTCGTAATATAACGACACATCAAACATGGTACATTCAATTCAAATACTACTAAAAAAGAATTACAATTTCTACTCCTAGCAGAAAGTATCCAATACTATCTCCATGTCACAGCTCAGGTCGCAAGCTTCATAGACTAAGATGGAAATCGCAAAATATTAGTTGGGTACTTCCTAATAGAGTGAAAGTAGCATATAATTTACTCAAGGAGTAGCGGGTTTGTATGGTGGAGAAAGTGAAGGAAGAGTTGGTTTAGGAAGTTCTGGAATTTCAGGCTTTGGCATAGTTGGGACTTTTAGTTTTGGAAGCTCTGGGATTTTTGGCTTTGGTAGTTCTGGGATTTCAAGTTTGGGCATAGTTGGTACTTCTGGCTTAGGAAGTTTTGGGATTTCAGGCTTTGGAAGCTCTGGGACTTTAGGCTTTGGCAGTTCTGGGATTTCAGGCTTTGGCATTGTTGGAATTTTTAGCTTTGGAAGCTCTGGGGCTTTTGGCTGTGGTAGTTCAGGGGTTTCAGGCTTTGGCGTAGTTGGTACTTCAGGCTTTGGAAGTTCTGGGACTCTTGGCTTTGGTAGTTCCGGAATTTCAGGCTTTGGCATAGTTGGTACTTCAGGTTTTAGAAGCTCTGGAACTTTTGGCTTTGGAAGTTCTGGGATTTCAGGCTTTGGCATTGTTGGGACTTTTAGCTTTGGAAGCTCTGGGGCTTTTGGCTTTGGTAATTCTGGGATTTCTGGCTTTGGAAGTTCTGGAACTTTTGTCTTTGGTAATTCTGGTATTTCAGGCTTTGGCGTAGTTGGTATTTCAGGCTTTGGAAGCTCTGGGACTTTTGGTTCTGGGATTTCAGGCTTTGGCGTTGTTGGGATATTTAACTTTGGATGCTCAGGGACTTTTGGCTTTGGTAGTTCTGGGATTTCCGGTTTTGGCATAGTTGGGACTTCTGGCTTTGAAAGTTCTGGGACTTTTGGCTTTGGTAGTTGTGGAATTTCTGGCTTTGGCAGACTCGGTAGCTCAGGCTTTGGTAGAGTTGGAACTTCAGGCTTTTTCATAGCCGGAGGAACCTCAGTCTTAGGCACTGGTGGGATTTCTGGCTTTTTCAAGGGAGGAAACTCTAGCTTTGGCATTGAAGGAATCTCGGGCTTTGGCATAGTAGGAAGCTCAGGTTTTGGCATAGTAGGGATCTCAGGCATCTTAGGCTTTGGCAAAGTTGGTAACTGGGGCTTCGGTAGAGTTGGTAGCTGAGGCTTTGGTATGGTTGGAAGCTGAGGCTTCGGCACAGTTGGGATTTCAAGCTTTGGCAAGGCTGGAACTTTTGGGAGTTCTGGTTTAGGTATCTCAGGAACGGGTGTCTCAAGGAGGTGGCGTGCAGTCGCGCCACTTATGTTGCCATGAATGAAGAATATATTGAGAAATGTAAGCAGTAAGAGAGATGATATGTGGTAATGTTGAGCCATTTTTCTGCAGATGGTAGAAGCTATAAGAAAGAATAATGTTTATAAGAGTGGATGTGTCATTGGCTTCAAGTCTGTTGCTTTATATAGGTTTTTAAGAATGCAATTACAAGGACTTTTAGGATTTTGTGATCTGAGTAGTTGAATTTCTCATCAAACTAATTAGCTTATAGCAGTTTGGTACGGTACGTCAAAAGTCAATGTAGATGACCTAAATTGCATATTAGTGTAAACCTGTCACACTATTATGGGTTGGAGACATATTCACTCATATGGTATCCATATTCAAACTTCTGGTAAATCAATCTTCACAACTGTTTCTCTCTATCTACTCTATGCTTTGGACAAATATCCTTCTACGAACCATCATCCCGCCATGCCACTCTAGGCTTCTCTCTTCCTTCACTCTGCTTCATATCCACTCTTCAGCCTTCGTGGAAAAAAGCAAAAATAAATAAAAATCAGTCCACTGGTAAACCATATAACCAGGTTACATATGCAGGATTGTGTTAAAATATACTCGTCACTCGTTGGATGTGTAAGGATTTACAGAAATGTTTATAATGTCCTAGACCACTCCACCCATCAGCTTAAACCTTTGGATCGAATACTCATATTCTTTCTCAACTAGAATCCTCATGTGCCTATTCCATGCAATCATTTCAACTACCAAACCACATTTTAGGATTCTTATTAAAGCATGCAACACAAAACGTTCAATCCTGTTTGCTACAAGTCTTCAAAGTATGCATTTGTTTCATGACACTTCTACCAGCATCTTCCATTTAAACCATATTGGCCATTTGTAGAGTAAAATGTGTTATATTTTGAAACTAACCATAGGCACTTACAATTTTTCTTTTCAAAGTGAAACCAAACAGAGAAAAGAAATACTTGCTACTGAACTCTGAACATATGAAAGAACGGCAGCTATATCATTTTGAAGTTTTAACCAATCAAAGTCAATAAACAAGCCTGTGTATTTTATGGTCCCAATGGATAAGAACTGCTTTTATCTCCACCTGAGATTTTTGGTGGTTATCCCTCGTGTGCAATCAGTTTAACTGGCCCTCCGGAATTTCTTTGTTATTAGAAAAAGAAAAAGTGGATTCAGTATAACTGCAACATAAATAGAATGAAAAGGAGATCATACCTTCTCACAGAGGTTGTATCGCTGGTTAAAACTGAGGCTGGAAACAGCAATTTAGTAACTTTACCCAACTCCAACTTGAACCAAGTTGGAAGTGATATAAGAACTTATCATAACAAAACTAAGTTTATATCTGACTTTGCACACAATCGTTGTGGGGAGTCACCTGAAAACACATAAATAGAAGAGAGAATCTAGCCAACCTTCAATTTGCATCATCTAACGTGCTCGTTATGTCATAAATCCCCTACTGAAGATAGGTTGCCAAACTACGACCGAGAGTTTCACCTTTTGAAGCGCCAGTCGAGTAGGGCGACCGGACCAGGCCGAGTCAGAAAGGCTTTGATGACTCAAGGTTCATATTAGGGAAAGGAGAGTGAGGGGAAGAGGGGGCATCCCTCATCCCGATCATCCGATTCGCTCTTTCCTGAGGTATCTAATAACCTTGCTTCTACTCGCCGCTGGCGCACCTCTCCTAACTATTGCCCATTTATTCTGGAATAATCTTTTTAGGAGGGACCTACACAGCTCCTGCGACCAATGACAAGTGTGTTCTCTACCTGCATAAAAATGAAATCAAAGTCGAAATATCCTTTAACCATCATTTCAGATGGAAAAATGAACCAGACACTACAAGTCACTCCCCGACCACCAGCTCCAAAACAAGAGCTTAGACAAAGAAACGAGGAAAGCAAAGAGAAGAAAGTATATAAAAAGAGAATTTGAATAGGAACCTCATGCAACTTCATTGTTAATGAATAAAGTTTAATTATCGTCACAAATTTCCGTCGAGGTTAATTAATGAGATCCCAATTTCACATAGAAGTTGTAAAATAAATCCATTTCACAAGTTCTTATCATGATTTTGGATATCAATGAATTCCAATCCATAATTTATTTATAGATCTCCAAATAATATTGCAGCAACATCATGCTAATTGAGAGATTACATGTTGCACCAAATTCCATTCTCCTAAACAATTAAAGAATATAAGATATGCGCATTGTTACTGAATGAAGGTGACAGGAATGCAGAATCTAAAAACAAAAGAAAAAAAGTAAGGAAAATTCAAGAAAGTCGCATGTCAGAAGATTAATGGGGGCAAGTCTTACTCACTTTAAGAGAATTAACACCAATATGATGATCTGAATTTGCCACCAACGGACCATTTTTGGCACCAAAAGAAAGGAACCAAAATATATGTACTGAAAATGCAACCCAAAATGTATACACACTTGGCAATACAAAACATGATTATCAACAAGGAACAAAGGCAAATATTTGGAACAGCTAATTGTTCTTCATAAGAACTAAGAAGGCACTGGACTTGCCACACTGTGAATTGCAGAGGCTTCACCTGATTGGAAACCTTCCATAGTTGACGGGCACATGCGAAGAGTCCACACAAGCAAGCATGACAAACTTCCCTTCAAATTGTACGTTGAAACTTCAGCACTAAGCTATGAAATTAAGGTGAATTACTGACTGAGAGTTTGTGTAACAAGAAAATATATAACAGCTGCAGAAGAAAAGTTACAATTGGTTCTTGGGAATATGCAAGATTTACTTCCCTCTCAAAGTCACTTGTTTCACCTGGAATGCCCTTAGAGAGGCTTGCCTAACACAAGACAATCTCAGGAGAAAAGGAATAATTCTCATCAACAGATGTTTCTTGTGCAAGCAGGACAATGAAACTGTAAACCATCTCTTTTTGCACTGCCCTGCAGCAGTTGGCTTATGGAATTTGTTTTACCCTTTATCTGGGCTCCAATGGGTAATGCCCTTCTCCATGAAAGATGCCTATGTAATTTGGTCACTGTGGAGAGTAGATAAAACCATCAACAGAATCTGGAGAATGATCCCAATAGTTATTTTTTGGTGTCTTTGGAACGAGAGAAATAGCAGATGCTTTGATGGAATCTCAACTCCTACTAGCACACTCAAGGCTAGATGTTTTGAATGTTTATTCAGTTGGCACTTTCTTTCCCCAGTAAACAATGGGGATAACTTTTTGGAATTTGTTAGCTCCATTTCTTTAGCTTAGTAGAATATTCAGGGAATTCTTTGGCTGTTTTACAGGTTTAGGCCTAAGTTTGCTTCACGTTTTGTTTGAAGCAGCTTCTTTTGCTCTCTTGCAATGCTTTTCTAATATGATTTGATTACCTTACCCAAAAAAAAAAGACCACCTATTGGTGATGTGAAGCTCTTCCTTGTAAATTGTCACGTCTCAAACAAACCTCATTTGCTGTCACGTCTCAAACAAACCTCATTTGCTGCCAACCAAGAGACATTGCACTTCGAATGGAGCCTTAGTTTTTCCAGATCTGTCTCCATGGCCAATTTTTTCCTTGAAAATTTGTTGTCAAAGCTTTTAAAAGATCCAAAACCAAGACTTATAATCATGTATAAAGAGAAATGGGGCAAAAACTTGTAACATTGTATGCGGCAGACGAGTCCCTTTTATTTAAATGGAAGCTTAGCATATATCAAAAATTTATCCTAACAGATTCAAAAATGTTGACGTCATTTCTCACAAGGGAAAAAAATCAAAATTATATGAATCTATTACTTGCAAGCTGCAAGGGTTAAGCTCCAAACAACCAACAACAAGGATACTTAAAAGCAATCAATTGCCTGAGATAAGTAGATAAAAGACTTAGTTTCAAGCAAACAGAGTTCAAGATAAAGTTAAAACTTATGTGGCACAACTGAACGGAAAAAAAGAACAGGCAAACAAGGCCCTCTGAGAACCTATTTGATCTTTTAAAAGTTAGGAACATAGGAAACTGATCATAAATTATTTAAACTATACAATAAGAAAACCAAGATAACTGATGCAGTATGGAGATTAGAGCAAAAAGCTGATTATTGCAATTACTTCAATGCAAACTAGCAATACATTAGCATTACAATGAAAACATCAAGGCCAATGCCTGAGTAGCTTTTCATCCCTTACTAAAACATACAAAAGACAAAAGGAAGCTACAACTAGAACAAAAGAAATGCCTTACTTCGCTAGGCAGCCTTAACCTTATCATCACCCACAGCATTGAGTATAGGAAGACTGCTTAGGAATTCATCAAGACCTTCAAAAAACTCAATCCCTTCAATGTTCCCATCCTCCCCTGTTCCAGCTCCATTGCCTTGGCCCATCCCAGGTGCAGGGGGCTCTTCAACCTCATTACTGAATTCAACATTCAAATCCAACTTCCCAACATCTTTGGTAACCCTTCCAGCTTGCCTTCTTGTGTTACCAGCTCTTTTGCTAGACTGAGCTGTTGTAACATTGGGCACTTCTACACCCCCTTGAGTCGCTGAAACATCTTGCACATCATCACCAGCATTCACTACAACATTTTTTCCCTTGTCAGATTTCTGTATCTTGGCCTTCTTTCTCCTAATCCTTTTACTTTTTCGTTTCCCACTCTTTGCCTTCTTCATCTTATTATCACCCTTCCAATCCTCATCTGACTCCTCACTCGACTCTGATAATCCCAGAAACACATCCTCATAATCATCAATATAAACTCTTGGAGCAGCTGGCTTTCTTACACCTCCATGTTTATTAAACATGGGTGCAAATGGAGTCCAGCTCGAAATATTGCCTTTGTATTTCTTAAAAATCTCCAAGGAAAATCCTAAAGGCATAAATCCCCAACAACAGAAATAAGCTTCTTGTCCCTCAATAATTGGCGGCGGCGAGGCAATCTTTACAGCCTGAAATGCCCT